CCCTAAGATATAACTCACTCTTAATTTTATATCTTAAATATTCCGAAAGCAGAAGTTCTCAGGATATTTCAGATCATGGTATTATTTTTGATTTTGAGTACGATAAAAGAAATACTAAAATTATTTTTGAAGTTCTCATTTTGCTTACAGGTTACACGTTTGAATACCAGCACTCTTGGTAAAAGACTGATACTATGATGATGATAGGTACTCAGTGTCTAGGGGAAAAAAATCCCATTTATTATGTTTTAATAAGCTTTGCTCGTCAGGAAGAAAAATTATTTATAACCTGATTGCAAGGATTTTTATCTCCATCACGTTCTTTCTTCTTGATCCTCACTAACCAATATAAAATTATCCACCTTGTAAATTCTCAGCCAATATTTACTACATAAAAATGATACTCATAGCACAACTAAGAATAAGCAGTACTGTAAGACCACACCTACACCAGGAACAAAAAAAAGAGAAGGTCAGATATTGCAATTCTAAGTGCTCCTCTGTGCCAGCCTTCCCCTGTAGCATGAAGCCTCTCCAGAGTCCCCACAAGGCAAATCCACATGCACAGGGAAGATGCACAGACTACCTGGGCTGGGGAAAAGCAAGACACATGTACTGTGGCCTTCACATTCATGATGCCACATGCCATCAAGCTGAAGATGTCATCTTTTGAAAATATGAATTTGAAATAGCTGTTTGGAAGGACTCAAACTAGAAAATCAAGCGAACGTTCACATTGTGCAGAAACTCCAGAGGGACTGGAAATTACAGCTGCACTGGATCAAACCGACCCCTGTTCTCAGTACCACCCAGCCTTTTTCTCTTGGACAAGTAACTGAGGCCGGTATTGCACCTCTGAGCTTGCTACTGCAGAGAGTTACATGCGGAGGAGGTGCGAGTGTGTTCACAAAGTAGATTTCCAAATTTACACAGAGAAAGTGAACAAAAAAGAAAATGCAAAAGGATGGAACTTAGAGTTAATGTTTTTTTTAAGTCTACTTCCTTCCAAAAAACTGTGGTAGCAATTAAATATATATACATTAATCTAACTCATTCATGCAATCATATATAATACTTCTAATCCACATTATAATGTATTCAGTAGAAAGCTACTGATACTCCATTTTCACAAATGAGAAAAGTGAAATGCAGAAAAACTAAGTGAGCTTCCTCTCATAGTTAGAAGGTAACAGAGCTGAGATACATCCTGTGTGAGAGGACAGAGGAGGAAAGGAGACCCACTGATCTTGCTTGCGCTCCATCCTCCATGCAATCTTTCCTGGCAGCTGGAGCCTGACTTGGGCCCCTTAGTTGCTCCTGGCACATTCAACATTTCCCCATTTCAGGGCTTACTGCCTTGGGAGTGTGATGAATTGTCTCTGTTTTCCCTGTCTGCCACTAGACCATATCCTCTGTGAAAACAGGCCCCCCCCCTTATTTATTTTGGCTGAAAAATTATTATAATAGCAAGTAGTATTTATCAGGTCTTATTACATGTCACACTCTGTTACAGAGTGTTACCTGTATTGGCCTTCTGTTAGACATGGAGAATCACTGGCTTTGCTCCTGGCCTCCTGAGTCAGAACATGGTTTCTGTTTGCCTATCTTGTCTGTCTGTCTGTCTTGGGGCTGGGGATCGAACCCAGGGTGCCCCACGTCCTCGGAATGCAATCTACCTCTCCCAGGGTGCACCACTTTACACCTCACAGCCCGAGGACCTACATTTTGCCTAGTTTGTACTAGGAATACCAGTACGTGGGCCTGGGGCCCCAATGTAGCAGAGCTATGAGAGTCCAAGCTGTTGCCTTAGCTCTGGCCAGGCCCACTCCTGTGATGATCACCACTGTGGACATTCTAGGAGCTAGAAGCAAAATCTTCTATCAGAACACAATGTGAGGGCGAGTGAACATTACTGATTATAGTGAGTCAGGTCCTCTTCTCCCAGGTAAAACGTTACTCCACAGATAAACTTGCTAAATTTAAAATCCCTATAATGTAAAACTTTTTGGACCCCAAATTGTACACAAAGTACACACATTTTGCAGAAACTACTGAAACAAGCTAAGCTGACATGAGAGAGAAACAAACTAGTTCAGTCCTACTCAACACATTTGTGGTTTAGGGGTACAGCAGGAGAGAAGGGGACTTGAATTGAGGAACAATTCACTCCCTTTGTAAAAGCCTAATCTGGCAATCAATGGCTCAGGAAGATAAGGATTAAGTGCCACAAGGGAACACATCCATGTCAAATTGTTACACTGCGTAGTACCCTGCTGCTAGTACTTTCCACAGGCCACTCATTCTTCCTAATGTTCCCTAGTGAGTCACTGAACTCTATTACAGTAACCTCATTACCACCGGCACTGTACAAGCAGAAAAAGTGAGACACAGAAGCAGAGGGCAGCTGGGAGTGGTGCATTATACCTGTAATCCCAGCACTCAGGAGGCTGAGGCAGGAGGACTGCAGTGAATTTAAGGCCAGCCTGGGTTGTTAATGAATTCAAAGCTAGCCTGCACTACATGGGAAGACCTTGTCTCACAAAACAAAGCAAGCAAACAAAAATAAGCAGAATGCAGATTTTACTCCAAAAGCCAAGCGCCTAAACATCACACTTTTCTACTGAAGTGCAGGTATTTCACATGGGGAATTAACTGGGGTTGGAAGAGGGAAGTCAGGAAATGAATGAAGCCTGTTAGGTTTGCAACTAACCAGGGAAAACAGGATCTTTTTTTGAATGTTTTTTCCCCTATGGGCCCAAGATGAACACTTAAGAGTTCAGTGTTTACCTTCAGGGCATTCTTAAATACAGGTATAGTGACGCACTCCTCCATCCACAAGACTGAGGAGGTCCTGTCCAAGCACGTAAGTTTTGGATGCTCTGCCCAAGGTAATGGGCCAAGGCTGGTGGCAGACGGGGTGAAGGGGAAAAGTTAAGAAGTACTAATCGAGGGACCCCTCACCATTTCCCCGTCCAGGCTCATGTGTCTACCAGAACAAGCTAAAACAAAGAGAACACACTCTCAAAATGAACCCCACTCTCGGGAAGTACTGCTAATAAAGCATCAAGAAAGCAGGCTCTCTGCAGACAGCACACTCTGATAGGCACGGTACTACACAGATTCTAGGAAGGGTGGACGGGCTCTCCTGCCCCACCAAAAATGAGTTCCTGCTCACACTCCAGACCTCACTCAAACTCAAATTCCCCCTTTCCACTTTGCCTTCGGAGCCAAAAGTGATGACCTCAGGTCCTTGGAGTCTTACAAGTTTTATCCACATATTTCATTCACCAATTAATCCTATCCAGGCTTGCAAAATCACTTCTACTTGGCTCAAGCTTATATTATTATGCTGCCTTTTTTCTGTCTTGCCAGCCTCTTGTTTGTCTTAAGTATCTAAATAAAAACTAGAGAATACATCTGAGAGGTCACCAGGCTCCCCCAGTGCCCCACTACCCCAGCAGAAAGCCTTGTACAGAGTAGAGAAATCAATGAACAAGTGACTGATTTCTATGTAAAGTCAGCCAGATCTCCGAAAACGCAGCTTAGGAGAAGTAGACTTCTAACAAGGCAGACTTTCAATGTGCTATCCATGCATGCTTGGACTTCTTCCTCAAATAATTACAGGACCTTTACTGGGGTGTCTCCAAAATCCTGATTCAAAACCTAACATACGGAACACAGTGTTCCAGGCACCTGCTTCACCAAATATATTTAGCTTTCACTCATTTCCCCACTTCCTACCCCATTGTATTTACTCACTAACACTGCACTGTCATCCCTCTTGCTGGCACTACTGCCCGAGAGATGTTAAACACACCCACATTTTCCAGAAATTTCGCAATTAATGTCTGGAATGTGTTTTGGATTATTCTTCAAAGGATGATACAGTTGTGCTGAGATGAATTCAATATTTTCCCCTTCTATTCATCACTTTAGTCCGCCCACTCATTACCTTTTTAGGGCCATCTGTTCTCTCTTAAATCCCCCAACCTCACAATGCCTGACCCCTGTATGCCCAAGGTGTGCACGCGTTCATCTAGATCACTGGATCCTAAGCCACAAAAAAGATAAAATAGAAAGCTGCACCAAATCACTAAACACCTACAAATAAACATAATGAACGCAGTTTTAGGACTGTTTAGACAGTTTTCTTCATAAATGAACCTGCCTGCCCACAACTGTACCACCAACATACTGCTTGTGGAATTTCCTGGTCGCTGTTGAATGTGTGTTAATGGCAGCAAATATTTCCAGACTTGCTATTTTTGCCTTTCTCATAGCATGTAACGCATTTGTCCTTGGTGAGTGTTTTATGTGACGGGACTCCTCAATAACACTAAGGCTTGTATAAGCCTGACAGTCAAAGCAGAGGTCACCGAGTCCTGTCATTTGTATATGTGCCGTGAGTACTGGCTGGTTGTTCCATATTTTGTCAATATTTACTTTTGGGAGGAACTAAATTATTTCCTTGTTTACTTGTATTGGTTTCTCTTCTCAGGCCCGCTAATGTATTTTTATGCACCGCCCCCTGCGTTTTTCTCTTTAGTATCAAGGAGCTTACTCTACCTAAAGACTTTTCAATTGGAAAATGAAATCCATCTGTTACTCAAAAGCAAAGTCTGGGGCCCTGGGTTTTTAAATTTTTCTAACTTCAGTATAGTATTGACTTTGCCCCTTCTCTTCTTTATTTAACTGGCAAAAACCAAACCCCCTGGATGCAACTCCAAGGGCTACCACAGCTTTCATATGTACAACCGCGAGTTGGGGGCACTGGGCTCGTGCAGTGCTCTCTCTGGGGCTCCTCCCAGGTCCACACACTCTCCTCCCAGCAACCACCATCTCTATGGTCTCCCAGGGGTAAATAAAGACACTATAACCTCCTCATTCTGTTCTTTGCTCTAAGCAGCCACCACCCATGGTTAGTTCTTCTCAATGCCTCATGAAAAGTGGGTGGAAGGAAAAGCTAAAATACGTCGGGGGGTAATGAAAAGAGGACTATGTCCTGAAAGAGGCAGTTTTTAATGGCAGTAGTTTTGAAAAACATGGAAAATTAAGTTGCAAAAAGACTGAAACTACCGATCAAACACGCACAGGGTGGGGAGAGAGGGGTGGGTGTTTATACCTGGACTAACGGTAAGCTGGATCTAACACAGAAAAAGTCTTCAGAGCAAAGTCACTCAATGGCGTCTGCTTGGGCCCTAAGCACTCTGTCCCCACAAACTATCAAACTCCAGCCATCGCCTGCCCTTTTACTACCCAGAGAGAAAGCTGATCATGTTCCTTCATCTTCACCCACCCCTCACAGACACAATGTACTCGTCTACATGGAAGAGAAGGGCCCTCCCTCCCCTTAGCTCAAAATATAAATTTTACTGTCTAATTAAAACATTCTTTTTAGACAATGTCACTTCATTAGTTTCTGAAAGCCCTGATCCCCCACAGAGCTCTCCCATCCAGATGACTTCTTGAGGGGTTCAGAATCCAAAGCTGTTTCTCTGGCTTCTAGGTGATTTCCCTGGAGGCACGCCTGGACGAGAAAACAGTCCAGTTAGGCTTCTGCGAAGGGCAACAGGAAGACTTAGCAGATGAATGGAAACAGGAAAGGGAATTGCACCCTCCCAGGGGCCAGAAAGCACTTTTCAGACGGAGACGGTCCAGAAAACTTTAGGTATCTGGCTTCATTCTCAATGTTTCAAATGAGTTTTGTGAAGAATTAAAAAATAAGGAATCACTTTATAACACAACTATGCTGAGAAGAAATAGAAGTGTACATCTCAAAGCTATGGACAGGATTGCTCATCCATTTCTTCCACGGAGAGCCCACCGACTGGTCAGCGTGCCTTAAAAACTTCAGGCACCGAACTACAAATTATAAAGGTCTATCTTGGCCCATGGTTTGTCTAACTTATTTTATGAATTGCAGTTAAAAAACATGATTCCCCCCTACACAAAACTAGTAAGGGGGTAAAACTAAAATTACAAGCTTTCAAATGGCAACGTAATTTGTATTTATACTGTGCCACCAAAAACAGGTAAATTAGTCGTGATTAATATTTTTGCCATGTAATATGTTTTGCCAGTATAGCCAACTAAAGTTTTCAAGAACACTTTCCATTAACAGATACAACCAGTAGGGGTCATTTTAGTGCAAAAATTGCAGCACAAGAGACTTTACCATGAATAAAATATGACAATTCCTATTCATTTTAGTTATGATAATCGCACACATGAATTTCTGAATAAAAATGGAGGCTGAGGGAAACACTGGCCATTGAGAAATTTCGGGCAAAGTAACAAGAAAATAAGAGAAGCCAGCACTCTCTAGATAATTAGTAACAACTAAAGGCTTCTCTAATTCTAAAAAAGGAAGAAAAGGTTACTCATTTGTCCTATGTTTTCCATACATCTTGTAGTAAGATGAAAATATTTCAAGTTTTAGACATACGGTTGAAAGTATCTAAGTCCAACCATTCTGTCATGCCAGGAACTACTGTCTTTATCTTGCTTTCACAGCTTTATTTATGTTTTGGTCTTTTTTGCTATGCAGTTCAGGCTGGCCTTGAGCTCACTTTGTAGCCCATGCTGGTCTCAAGCTCACAACAACCCTCCTGCCTCAGCCTCCGGAGTGCTGGGATTACAAGGTGTGCGCCACCATGCCCGGGGGTTTCCCTGCTTTAGCATGCAACCTGATTGCTGCTTTCACAATTCTTTCAAAAAAATAGAAGACAGTGCCCTGAGCACACAATTTTGGTAGGTGAAAACAGGCCTGCTAAATGCAAAGTGAAAGCAGACACTAATTGAGATACAATCATGTGAAGAAATAGTTCCCAGCACTTTAAAGGCTAACACCAAGTGCACGGATGTTACCCAAAGAAAGGAAGCCATGTGGGACCGCATCATTTCAGAGAAATGTAAGGCTCACCAACGAACGGCCAAAATAGCTCCACAGTGGGACATGGGATTCTGCTGCCAAAACACTTCCTTACTGTCAGTGATCTCTTCCTTCACCAGACACACATCGAGAAGAAACAAGGGCGCAAATTGTGAGCCCTCAAAAGTGATTCTCAACACACGCCAGTTTCCACTGCTGTTAGCCATATTTCGGGTGGTCTGTTCTTTGCTTATTCATGGAAGGCTGGATCTAGTTCTCCAGTCCAAGTGGCACTGTTCAAAGATGCATTTTTTAGTCCAAGTCACTCAGAATTCCCAAAGACAAACAACAGAACTGTATCGGAGATAATAAAATGACCATTCGTGCAAAACAAAACCCTGTCATTACATGGGAATGAACACCAGGTGCACAGACTTCTGTGTTTCTGAGGTTTTCTAACCAATATCCTAAGGGTGTAGCTGAGCACCGCCCCGGCCTCCAATTAGAGCTGCCTGCACTCTTTACTGCCCACTAGCTTCCAAACCAGAAAGGCGTCCCTGATTTTCCAAAACTGTCCTAACCCTAAAAAAAAAAAAATCACAGGTAAAAATAAGCACATGTGTATTTTAAGAAAAACCTGGCCCTGGAGATTATCAGATCCATTATTATCCTTCAGGGTGCCACCTCCTTTTTAATACCCCAGCACAATAAACAAACACAAACACACAGAAAGATGCTTCAGAATACACCCCTGCCGGTCTCCTAGGTGCTGGCCGGGAGGGTCCGCCCCTCCTCACCGCTGCCCCAGGACTGAGGCTACTGTACCCGGCTCGCTCACTCACCAGGATGCTCGGAACAGCGTCGCCCCCAACGTCAGCCTGCGCAGGGATCATCCCACTTTCCACCGGCGCTCAGAGTCCTACCCATTAACCAGATAAGAACTCCCCGCCACTCTCTAGACCTCAAAGCAGACCAGGCACCCCAAGGCAGAGAGAGGCTAGCGGCAGGGGCAGAGGCCCACACGCACCAACCAGAGAGGCTCCACCAACCTAATCTCCCTCCATCGGTCAGTCTCAACACCTCGGAGCCCCCGCGCTGGGGAGCAGCCACTGGGTCAGTCCCCGCTGTCAAACAAACAACACGAAGGCGCCGGCAAAGCGATCGGAAACACGCGGATAGCGGATGGTTTTTTTTAAAAAAAGGGACCCTTCGGTAGGCAGCAACAACTTTCTCCCCCCCGCCCAGGTGCACCCCCTCCGACCCCAACCCACTCTCCCCTTTCCTTTCCGGAGAAAAAGCCTTTGACCATTTTCGATGGACAAATAAATGAGTAACCACCGTGTGGAACTCCGCCTGGGTTGTCATATTCCGGGGCTGAAACTGATTTACATGCAGAGGAGGAGGAAGGAGGTGAAAGAAGAGCTCCGGGGAAAAACAATACAAGAGTCACGCAGGGAGGAGTGCGCGGTGAAGACGTCTCCCGCGCGGCCAGCCGGGGTACAGCGCCCACCCGGCGGCACACTGCGCTATGCGGGGTGGGCAGCGGGTGACCTCCGAGGGGCTCTCGCGCCGCAGCCTCCGCAGTGCCCCCCGCCCGGCCGGCTGCGCACCCCTCCTCCGGGCGAGGG